GGGGGGGGGGGGGGGGGGGGGGGGGGGGGGGGGGGAGGTCGCCAAAATAAATTGGGGAAAAAAATTTTTCTCATCTCAAACCCTCTGTTACATTCTTTCTGCAGTGCCCCCCCAGAAATTGAGAGCCAGCTACGGGCTTGCATTGTGTAATTGTTGTTTGTTTGACACATAGTCGTTCATGCCAAAACATGTCCGTTCTGCTGTTTAACGTGTTTTCTTGACAGAAAGGTCGATAGTAAACACAAGTTGTTAAGTTTATCGGCTTTCATTGACATTTAAAAGCATGTACAGTGAAATGTCAAAAAATATGCTGCACCTAACGCTACATCTTCATGCACTTTGTTATACTTTCTTTAAATAAAATTGGGTATTAGGAATTTTGTTTGGAAATTGTCTTCACCCCTTTTCAAATGTTACCTATGGGCCTGTTGCTACAGAAAGTCAAATCGCAGGAAAGGCAATGATTCATGCAGCTGAGTTCTCCTAACCATACTATAAAATCGATTGTATGTAATTGGAATTTTATAATTGCTTACCCCGTCGTTCATTTTGATGTCTCCAGGATATGAGCATTTTCCCTATAGATATTAATAAATAATATTATAATAAAAAACACTACATTTATTTAGGAAAAATATAGAATGAACGCACATACATTAATACAACAGACTTGTACAGTACTGTATATATAAATATAATGATAGCCATACCGTATGCATGCATGCAGCGCTATATTTAGCGCTTATAACAAAATATAAAGCAATTATCCGTAACAGTAGGTTGCGTTTTAAGTTGTGTCAACTGAAAGATTTTATCCTATAGCTGCATGTATTACTTCAGCAATAATATTGGCTTAATATCTATTTCAATAGATATTGGCTTATGAAATTATACAGTACCTTCTTCGCTATTCCCCCCTCGTTACTAACATGCCATGTTTCTAATTTTCCAGCACTGCTCCTTTCTTGGAATTCCATACACTTTTTCCAAACGCGTTTTGGCAAAGATGTGCGGATCCAGAACCAGACACGTATTGTTGCGTCTTTCTTTAAAATTGTGCCTCCATTCATAGCTTGACATCTTGGTGCACAGTAGTCCATTTTACTGTCTGGACCAAAACATGCACAGCACTATGACGCAAATATGGTCATATTAGTTCATGCAAAGATCGAATTAAACTACTTGATGTCCCTAATTGGGTTACTAGCTGGGATTAGATGAGAGTTTATTATATTCTTGGATTCTGCAAACTGTTGCACCCTTCGATATAGACAGATCAGTGAACGTTCGCGGTCCTATAACATGTTATATTATACATTTATCACGTCTGTTATTGGTCATGTACTGTTTACCAGTTATGCATGGTAGTACAGTTGGTTTTACATAACTTTTGCTTAAAATGTTCCAAACTTCGCTCATACTAAAATTCACAAGCCGGTTTAATTAGACAAGGATTCTGATTAGTTCCTAAATTAACAGAAGCAATCAAATGCTTATAGTTTACAAACCGCCGGTTTTTCAATATTGTTATGAACTTTATATGAAGTTCACAGCGAACTTCTGCGCCGAACGAAATGTGCAATATTTTAGGGAAAAGCGCGGGAATGCGAAATTGACTGTTATATAATGCAGCGATCTCATTTACGCCAGTCTTCATAAATTTGGACTGAAAAATTAAGTTTTTTATGTGGAAGCTGAATACCATCAAATTGTACCATAAGGGAATAGTAAGTACACTCTAAAAACTTTCTGGTTGAAATTCCTGGTTCGTTGTTAATTTTGCTGGTCATTTTAATTAATTAACGTACCTTTCTCTTGGTTCGTTTAACTAAGCTATATAGAGTCTGGTCAATTTGGCCAAGCCTTATTGGTTAAGTTAAATTATAACCAGACTATATATGTTAGGTGGATAAAAAAGCAGAGACCCCTGGTCATTTACAAACCTAAAATATGGCCTGGTTAATTTAATCAGTAAATCCTGGTCAAACTGACTAGACTATAGGTTAAAATATCGAGGGAAAAGGTTAAAATAACCAGAAATATTAAGTTAATCCAAATGGTGTTATTTCTAGGTTAATCAGGAAATCTTAAACCAGTGAGAGCACTTTTATAGAGTGTAAGAGGTCTAAGAGTAGTACTGAAATGAATTAAGTAAAATCATGTGACAGTGTACGAAGTGGTTTACCTTTCCATGATCGCATCCCAGAAAGGCAGTGGAATTTTCACGAATTCCAGACTTCGCTGATACAACACTATAACTGTAGAATATCTGGAATTAGTAAACGTACAAGCCGTCTACATGTTTAAAATCAGAATTCCACAGTGTAATATATTATATACACAAGGTCTGGATATGAGGTATTCTGCGATCTGATTGGTTCTCTACTAGCAGAATATTAGGTCATATCCTGCTAGTAGAGAAAAACAAAATGGCGGCTCGAACTGAATTTCCGACGTTTGCGAACGAGAAAACGGCAAGTTTTTGGCTTTTTATAGCCTTTACAGGGTTAAAAACACAATGGAAAAAACTCCCACAAATTGTTCACAGGTTAACTAATGAATTTTTAAAATTTAAATGGTTAAAAATATATATTTTGAAAAACTAATCGGCCGAAAGAGCGAAGATAGAAGAAATATTGAAAATATCCGAAAAGCAAAGTCTGTGAATTCAGACCTTGTATATATAATAAAACAGTTATTCCACTCACTCTCGTCAAATATAGGCTATGAGTGCTACCGATTCGGCGCTATGCGCCTCATCGGCTATCAGCTCATATTCGACTCGAGTTCGTAGAATAACTGTTAATTATCTGTAGGCCAGCAACCAATCAAAACATGCAGAGATTGTATATCAGTAATGCGTAATAATTCCCATTATGGACTAATTTTAATACTGGGCAATAAGATACAAAAAAATCACCATAGTCCACAGCTAGAAAGATGCGAAATATTGTAAAATGCGGAAAATATATAGCCTTGTAAAGTTTGCAAAGCAACTTTTGTATACTTTTCTATTGCGTGTGGAAATTGCTATACCATTTTCGGTCTAAATGTGGTAGCAACTTCCGCACGCAATACAAAAGTATAAAAAATTTGCGAACTTTGCAAGGCTATATATTTCCGCATTTTACAATACTTCGCAACCAAACTTTGCAATTTTACTAATTTTAGTATGCTCTTTCTGGGAATATACTTTTTTTCCAAGAAAAAAAATTGGTCTATAATGGGAATTGTTTATATACTGGTTTTAGTTGCATGCTTTGACCAATACTTTATTGGTCAAAACAACTAAAATTTTGGTTATTTTAACCAATTGGTACAGTTGTTTTGGCCAGTTAACAATTAGACGCCGAGTTGTCCATGAGCGAATAGTCAGCGAAAGCGTAGTCAGGGTTGACTATTCGCAATCGACAACGAGACAATGACAACAATGTGAAAAACAGTCATTAAAAAATTTTATCCTATAAGGAAAGTTGTTTTAGGCGGGAAATGTCGAAGCATACAAAAAAAGACCGTATAAAGGGAGAAAAGCCTTGAAATAGTTAGCATACTGCTATAAAAATAAAATCACATTTTGGACAAAGAAACACTTAAAAGCTTTGTGGAAAGTAATGTCAGGTTTATTATTAAAATACATGCAGTTTAAATTTTGCTTCATGTCATGTTTTGTAGTCTTTTTGTTCTTCGGGGGAAACGTTTCCATCTTTTCTCTCAACCCTAAACCGTTATGTAATGGTCGCTGGTTGAGTCCAATCAGAATGCTGAATTTGTAATGACAAATTCAGCATTCTGATTGGCTGCTCAACCAAGAGCCATTACATAACGGTCCGTGGTTGAGAAAAGATATGGCGGAAATCTTTGTTTTGCAAAGGTTTCGGGAGATTTTTGTGGGACATTCTTTCCCCGAAGAACAACAAAGACTACAAAATATGATCTGAAGACGTTTAATGGTTGGAACAAAGTTTAAATGTTATTATAATAATAAATATGCTGTTATACATTTGCCACAAAATGTTACACGAAGACAAACGGAATCGCAGAGCACTTTTGTTTGTGCTATTACAAGCAAAATCGTTGAAATTTCAGCTGCTTGTAATAACGTCTTTTAAGTGTTTCTTTGTCTCAAATGTGATTTTATACTTACAGTAATATTTTAGAGCTTCCCTAAGCGTTGGTAGCCCGTGGTTGAAATTTTTCTAAGTCTTTTTCAAATGGTCACTTACGAAAGACTTAGAATATTTTCGACAATTTATCTCATTTTATTATAGTTTATACTACACTTAGAAAATATTTCAACCACGGGCTACTTCCATTGGTAGCCCGTGATTTTGAGTGGTAGCCCGTGGGTAGCCCGTCGTTTTTGTTGGGATTTATATTAGTAGCCCGTAGCCCGTTAAATCTTAGGAAAACTAATTTCACTCGACGCTTAGAAAAATTTCAACCACGGGCTACCAAGCGTTGATACATTCGGGTGGAATAATTCGATGGAATACGTTGCACCACGACGTTTTACCAGAATCACGTGGAGCAGCTACTACAAGTTTTCTTGTCTTCTGGGGGCATTCTAGAGGCAAAGAGACACTGGTAAAATTTGTTGAGGAAATTTACACGTTCCTCTTCACCAGGGAATGAATTTAGGATGCCTTCTTGGAAATATCTAGGTTGAAGTGGTGTTGAACAATCATAAGGAACGAAGGCCCGTGGTGATAACTTGCCAATCTTTGACGACGGAATGGCGTTCGCCATGAATGCGCGTTCGCTGATGGAGAAAAAAACCCGTTAGACACTTCGATTAGGTCTAAGTCAATTTAATTTGCTGGATCATTTCGCAGGCTGGATGTGATAGTATTTTCTCAACCGCTTGGAAATGTCGAACAAGGTCGTTGTTTAGGGCGTCGTTTGCAAGAAGCTTATTCAAATAACTTGACACATCCATCATTCTGACATAACTAGTCATCTTCGCATTGGCGGGGGTGGTATAAATTGCGGAGCGGTGAAGAACGTGGCCGCAGATTATCATAACGCGAGCAATCTTTCTGATAGTTCGTGTAATTTCATTAGGCTGCGACAATGATTGTATCGTGTCTACTTGTGGCGATAATGACGTTTCTAACACAAGTCCATCCGATTGCAGCCTTTCGACTGCTGACTGTATGGCGTCAAGATAACCATCGTGATTGACGATTGTGACACAACAGGGAGCGCTCGGGAAGTGTGTCGGATGGAATTCTTCATCGTATTCCTCATCGTCGTTCTCCTCGTCTGTCGATGAGTCGTGGGCATTGCGGTAACAGTATACATTCGATATGTCAAGCATGTCCTGGATACTGCGGTTGTTATGGTCCTTCACAGTTTGAAAGAGCTGTCTTGCCGCATTTTCCAATTCATTATTGGCAGCGTTTCGAACTTTCATACCTTGAATGACCGGCTCTAAATCTTGGTTATGCAGCGCGGTAAAAAAGGTGTTGTCGTTGTAATTGTCGTTGGGTGTGTAGACAATGAAATATGAAATCGAGGGATAGGTTTCATCGGGTTCCATGTCCGTGGGTTCTTCCTCAACTTTTGATTTCGAGTTTAAACAAACGCTTGTGATGCTGGAGAAAAAGAAATGCACTCCTTCTATTGCATTAATGGCATCGTCCAACAGCAATCTTTTGGAAGCTATTTGAAATCTTGCAAGCTCTATATCTTCGTTGCACACACGCCAAATAGCACGGCATGCGATTGCTTTCTGTTCGTCTCTTATCTAATAAACGTTAACGACGAGACGTTTATTACACTGACGTGAGTAAGGAAAACGGCATTGTAGAAATGAAAGACAAACTTACCAGACTTAAAATGTTCGCTCTTAAAGAGTTTTGTATTCGTTTGGAATCCAGCTGTTTACGCGGTTTTGGAGGCATTTTTAATCAAGCCATATTTCCACTGTTGGTGTTCAGAATTGCGAAGGCGTTGCCAGTTGGCGATGTTTTTTTGCTTGCTTGTGGCGCAAATTTGCATATATATTGCAAATGAGAACAATATATTTTACTTTGGTCATCGTCATTGTCATTGTCATTGTCATTGTCATTGTCATTGTCATTGTCATTGTCATTGTCATTGTCATTGTCATTGTCATTGTCATTGTCACGGAATTTTCCAGAACATTCTATTAATATTCAATACGAATATAATATCTCAGTCAAACAATGACAATCACGGTCAACAGGGGCCGGCCCCACACAAAATATGCCTATAAGGGCCCGGCCCCTCTTCCTCCATTACGCCATTGAAACTACTGCAACATTTCGGGAAACCATATTGTTTACAGTTTGAAATCATGTTAAGTTCTGGATTTTTACATGTTAAGTTCTGGAATTAGAAACTTCGCTTCTATTTCGCCTTAATAATGACTGTTATAGACCTACAGCATGTTTTAAAATATTTTCAAAGCTCGCGAGCTGTGTATTTTTAAAAATATCTTTCGCCGGGTTGTTGCAAAAAGTAAACAAAGAAGCCGCAAGCAAAGTGTGCAACGGTTGCATGAAAGAAATCATTCAAAACTCGTGCAAGGTTTTAAATTTTATTTAAATCTTTCAAATTGTACTTGGTCCCTTGGAGTTTAAATTTGAAAATAATAGTAGGGTATACTAAAACTATGAGAAAGCTCAGCCTCGTTGTCTATGTTAATTTGGTCAAATTAACGAAGATGCATCTGAGACAACCAATTCAAATTGGTTATTGTATAACCAATCCGTTTTTACAGTGTATTTCGTCTTAGTTGGACATTATAGTAGAGTATAATAACACTTGAGGTCATTACCTGAACGAACCAGCGCTGTCGTATCTGAAGCCAGAGATATGGGCAAATCCTTTATTACACGCTTTTGTAAAGCACATATTCATCTTACCCTGGAAATGAAATTGTGTTAGTATTATTAAGGGGAATTTTTTTTCAATGTCACGTATTTTCAATGAAAAGTGTTCAAAACCTAAAATCTTTTTGGCGTCCCTCTCAAAATTACTTTGTTTTAGCTTTATTCTCTAGTTTATACAGTTAGCTAATAATAGTTAAATATTGTCAATTAAAATACAATTATCAATGATGCTTTAAACTTGACGCCATATTTACAGTCATATAAGCAAAACTTACTGAACTTCAGACATCATTTTCTCTTTGGCGTGTCATCTAAAATCTCTTCATTTTAGCATTATTTTACAGATAAAGCACTAAACATACTTTTAAAGTTCGTTTGTCGTTTGAGAAACGTATCGAAAAATAAAAATTTTGAATTTAGTCATAACCACAAGTGGTATATTATACGCATTAGTTTTGAGCGCGTCTTACGTGATACAAAAACATCTCCACTAGCTTAAGGAGGCTCCCTACAGTTATTGGTAGAATTTGAAGTTGATTTAGTCAGACGTCATTTTCGCGTCGTGCGCGTGGAAAATTCGTGGTGTTTTTTACACAAGCGGACAAGCCGGCGAAATAATTTTTGAGTGCTCATCTTGAAAAGAACGACACCAGCATTTTTAATCCTACGTAGTTGAAATTATTAAAAGTACATATGTTGTTGACCAGTTATTAAACTTTTGTTTGGTATGTTTTTCACGTTTTAAGAGCGAGTCTCTACAAAAATCAAACATACCGCGGCAAGGCTCAAAATTTTAAATTCGCTCTACTTTTGAATTTAAGTTAACTATGACAAAGTATGAAACGTCATATGGTTAGTTTTTAAAAATACTCTTTTGTTTATGAAAAAAAGGCAAAAAAATATGTCAGCTGTGAGGACCGATTTTCGCAATCGAAAAATGGCCGAAATTGCGTATGTTTACTTAATCCTGGTATCCAAACCGTAAATCCAAATAGCCTTATTATACTTTCTGCTAAAGATACATCACTCCCTCGTTTATTAAAAGTGGTTTTATGATAATTGAACAACTGAACACATTTGTGCACAATAAAGAGCGACGGGTACTGATCTTTATTGTTTGTCATTGCGTGTAAAAAGTGACAGATTTCTCCATTTGCCATCCTTTCAAATCTTATGAGATTTTGCACAAGCACTATTGGAAAACTGCTCTTTTCAGCAATGTATAATTTATTTTGGGCAAATAAATTCACGCGCTACGAGAAAGAGTTAACTTTGGTTCATTAAATATGCAAAAATCG